ATTGCAACAGCACATCAAAAAACTTATCCATCATGATCAAGTAGGATTCATCCTGGGGATGCAAGGCTGGTTCAACATATGGAAGTCTATAAATGTAATTCACCACATAAACAGAACCAAAAACAAAAACCACATGATTATCTCAATTGATGCAGAGAAGGCCTTTGACAAAATTCAACAGCCCTTTATGCTAAAAACCCTCAATAAACTAGGCATTGATGGAACATATCTCAAAGTAATAAAAGCTATTTATGACAAACCAACAGCCAATATCATACTGAATGGGCAAAAACTGGAAGCATTCCCTTTGAAATCTGGCACTAGGCAAGGATGCCCTCTTTCACCACTCCTATTCAATATAGTACTGGAAGTTATAGCCAGAGCAATCAGGCAAGAAAAAGAAATAAAGATTCAAATAGGAAAAGAGGAAGCCAAACTGTCTCTATTTGCAGACGACATGATAGTATACCTAGAAGACCCCATCGCCTCAGCCCAAAAACTCTTGAATCTGATAAGCATCTTCAACAAATTGATCTTAAAATTCAGATGGAAAGGTAAGGTACTCCAAATAACCAAACATTCTTGAAAAAGAAGAAGCCAGGCACAGTGGCTTACACTGGTAATTCTGGCACTTTGGGAGGCCAAGGCAGGCGGATCACCTGAGGTCAGGATTTCCAGACCAGCCTGACCAACATGGAGAAGCCCTGTCTCTACTAAAGATACAAAATTAGCCTGGTGTGGTGGCACGTGCCTGTATTCCCAGCTACTTGGGAGGCTTAGGCAGGAGAATCACTTGAATCCGGGAGGTGGAGGTTGCAGTGAGCCAAGATCATGCCGTTGCACTCCAGCCTGGGCAACAAGAACGAAACTTTGTCTCAAAAAAAAAAAAAAAAGAAAGAAAAAAAAGAAAAAAGAAGAAAAGGTTGGGGGATACACACTTCCTCACTTCCTCATTTGGTGACTTACTATAAAACTACAGTCATCAGGCTGGGCGCAGTGGCTTATGCCTGTAATTTCAACATTTTGGGAGGCCAAGGCAGGCAGATCATCTGAGATCAGGAGGCTGAGACCAGCCTGGCCAACACAGTAAAACCCCATCTCTACTAAAAATACAAAAATTAGCCGAGCATGGTGGTGCGTGCTTATAATCCCAGCTACTTGAGAGGCTGAGGCAGAAGAATCACTTGAACCCAGGAGCAGAGATTGCAGTTAGCTGAGATCATGCAACTGCACTCCAGCCTGGGCAACTAGAGCAAAACTCTGTCTCAAAAACAAACAAACAAACAAACAAACTACAGTAATCAAACAGTGTGGCAGTAAAGATAAAGGAGGATAAACTATGAGAAAGCACCAGAAGGTACAGGTAGAAAAACAGGCTGTGTAAATGAGGTTAGACTTTTTCTGTGGGCAATGAATGAGAAGTCCTTGAAGATTTTGCACAGAGACACGCTACACTCAGTCAAGGTTTTAGAGACTAATTGTAGCAGCAGTGTGTAGCAGGAACTAAAACTGGAAAGTGAAGATACCAAAAAGGTAGGGAAAACCCATTGAAAAGCCACTATGTTAATCTGGGAAAGAGATAATGGAGGACATAAATTAAAGCAGTGGCAATAGAAATTAGGGGAAAAAAGAAAAACCAAAGATCTTTCTCTCTCTCTCTCCCTCCCTTTTTTTTTTCTTTAGGCTGGTCAAGTGAAGCAGAAGAATGGAAAAGGAACAGAGAAGTCTGTGGTTGTGACCAATTAGCTGTAAACACCACTGCACGAAAACCAGTCAAACCAAAGATCTCTTGTGTGGATCATCCTTTAACAATCCTGTCAAATGATAGCAGGTCCAGGCCAGGAGGCAGCTCATACCTGTAATCCCAGCACCTTGGGGGGCTGCAGTGGGTGGATCCTTTGAGGCCAGCCTGGCCAACATGGTGAAATTCTGCCTCTACTAAAAATATAAAAAATTAGCTGGGTATAGTGGCACATGCTTATAGTCCCAGTTACTCAGGAGGCTGAAGTGGGAGAATCACTCTAACCTGGGAGGCAGAGGTTGCAGTGAGCAGAGCTCTCGCCACTGAACTCTAGCCTGGGTGACAGAGTGAGATCCATCTAAAAAAAAAAAGAAGCATGTCCTATAGCACTTGCCTTAGCTCCTGAGTATGAGTGCCTTCTTAAATTCTGCATGTAGGATCTCAGTCACCCTAATCCCAGCCTTGAAACAAAGGTACCATAATTCCCATTTTCTTTTTTTTTTTTGAGATGAAGTCTTGCTCTGTCATCCAGGCTGGAGTGCAATGGCTTGATCTCGGCTCACTGCAACCTCTGCCTCCTAGGTTCAAGCAATTCTCCTGCCTCAATCTCCCAGGTAGCTTGGATTACAGGCACTCACCACTGCACCCAGCTAATTTTGGTATTTTTAGTAGACAGGGGGTTTCACCATCTTGGCCAGGCTGGTCTCAAACTCCTGACCTCGTGATCCACCCACCTCAGTCTGCACAAGTGCTGAGATTACAGGTGTGAGCCACCACACCTGGCCATAATTCCCATTTTATAAAAGGAAATCAAACCCAAGCAAACTGAATCACTGGCTAAAAGTGTTACTGGGCATCCATGAGATGCTGAAGACTGAGCACCAAATAGCAAATAAGACGTTTTCCCTGACAACAGGAGTATGCAGTTTCCTGGAAATAGGCAAGCAGGCCACTACAATGCAGTGCTGTGATGGGGTAGAGAAAAGCACTGGGTCTGGAGTCAGGCTGCTTGGATTTGAAGCATAGCCCACCACTCCCATGTGACCTTGACCAAAGGGTAATAATCAAATAATGTTCTCTACCTCACAGTACTGTGAAAGATGAAATTAGTTATAATACATGAAGCGTTTAGAACACTAGTGTGGCATGTAGGTATCTAAGTATTTGCTGTTATATACTGGTGATGATGATGCAGTAGAGAGAAACATGGAGAAAGTGTGTGTATATATCTATGCTTTGGAGGAAGGGAATAGGGTGGGGAGGCTTCCTGGAAGAGATCTACTGTGAGCTGAATGCTCAAAGTTAACCTACTGAAGTCAACACCCTCATATGTCAAATAATGTCTATCTTACAACAGCATTGTGAAAATTGAGAGACCACATACACAGACAATGACTAGACCTTATATAATACAGAACTCTGACCCCCAACCTGCAGCAACCTGCCCAGGGACCCAAACCATTATTCAGAATAACGTCAGCCAGGACGTCAGCAGGCTATAAGTCGGACTTGTAGGAAATCAGATTGCTCTCTCTAGTGATAGTCCGGAAGTCAAACAATAAACCCTTTAACCAACAGCCCAAATGGCTAGGACTTTTTTTTTTTTGAGATGGAGTTTCACTCTGTCATCCAGGCTAGTGTGCAGTGGTGTGATCTTGGCTTATTGCAACCTCCACCTCACCTTCTGGGTTCAAGCAATTCTCCTGCCTCAGCCTCCCCAGTAGCTTGGATTACAGGCATGTGCCACCACGTCCAGCTAATTTCTTTTTTGTATTTTTAGTACAGACAAGGTTTTATCATGTTGGCCAGGGTAGTTTCAAACTCCTAACCTTAGGTGATTCACTCACTTCAGCCTCCCAAAGTGCTGGGATTACAGGCATGAGCACCGTGCCTGGCCACAAAATGGTTAGGACTTGATTACTAACTGATAGCTTCCTTAATTTCTGTCCTCGATTCCAACGTAAAACAATCGGAGAAAACCAAATATCACCCCTAAACAATGCCATAGAATGTCCTGCTTCTAGTTAGCCCACCTGCAGCATCCCCGTGCCTCCAAGCAGGCCATACCTGAAACCATTCCTATTTTCCACTATAGTTTTCCCACTTCTCTCTTTGACTCAAGTCCCTACTGAAAAGCAAGTGACAGTGGCTGACGCCTTACCATACCAAGCCCTGAAAAATAGCCTGCTTGTTCTCAGTCTGTTGGTCTCCATGTACATCCTCAGAATTTAATTTGGTAAAGTACATAAAATGTCTAGTACAAGGCATAACTATTTTTCCAAGGACCTTTTGTGTCTTTAAAGGAAATATTAACACGAACAAAGACTGAGTGGTTTTCAACTAAAATGTACCTTTTATCTGAACAAAAGTCCTGCCTGAGAACCTGGTTTTAAATGCGGTCCTCAGTGGTTTTCAAAAGCAGTAGGTAAGACCTGATAACCAGCCTCCCTCCCAAACGGTTTTGGGCTTCACTGTATTATTAGAAACAGTACAAGTGGCTTCCTACTTCCCGTTCTGTATTCTGAAGCCTGACCAAATCGAGGTGCCAGAGTGCCTGCAGGAAGAAAGCATAGACAGTTTGCAGTATGGGATCAAGGTAAGGTATTGTTCATAAGATTTTTTTTTTAGTAAGTTCTTGCTATGTTGCCCAGGCTGATCTTGAACTCCTGAGCTCAAGCGATCCTCCTCCCTAGGCCTCCCAAAATGCTGGAATTTGAGGCTTGAGCCACCACGACCAGCCTCATTAGGTTGCTTTAAAGTCCAGTTTGGGATTTATCCAGGCCACAGCTTCTATTTTCCCCTCTAAGGCCTACTTTCTTGGGACTGTTCCCTTCCTGCTTCCGCCAGAAAGGGCATTCCTTTTTGTATGGCACTTCTCTCCACAAGCACATTTGGTTCTGTTCTCTTTAGGTTTGGTTGAGAAAGGGCTTTGAAACTATGGAATAAAAGTGGCACTAGTGCACTGCAGCCTCAATTGCTGGTTTCAAACAAACCTCCCACCTCAGCCTCCGGGGTAACTGGGACTACTGGCCTCAGCCACCGCACCAGGCCCAGGAAGTAACCCTTAATTAATAGTTCATGATGTTCTTTTCCTTTGCAACTTGGGGTAACAAATACAAAATTTAATACAAGATAGGAGCATTTAAACTCCATTTTAAGAGAGGTGTCCAGTGTGGTTAGAGACAAAAGCCACTTCTTGTCAGCATCCACAATTCCCCACCCCTGCCCATCTCCTGCCGGGGTCCCTTGGGGGCCATACCTTAAAGCTCAGCTCCTCATCTTGGGTACCAGAAAATCTACTTTAACAGAGAAAGCCCCCTAGACATCAGGTGTCCCTTGGAGCTGGGAGTAAAGCCCAAGCAAGAACTAAGAGGGTGGCTGACTTCACAAAGCCACCCGCACACCCCAGGGTTTGTGCTCCTCCACCTAGCAAGTACGCTGGGGAACCGCCAGTAACGGATGTGGGGGTACCGTTGCCGAGGCCGCCCAGAGCCGCCAGCGTGACTCCCTCTCCTGTGCTCCTCCGGAGGTCCTGGCTCATTACGATTGCTCCGAGGGCTACCTGCGAAAGTCACGGCCAGAAGCAGCAGAGCCAAATGCAGCATCGCCTGTGCCATCCTCCGCAGCCGGCCATCGGACCTCTGCACGCTGGTGCCTGCGCCACTCGCAGGGGGCACTCACGTGGCGGGGCGTGGGGAGGGCAGAGAAGGGAGGATTGAGGGGCGGGGAGAGAGTGGGAGGAAGGGCAGCGGTAGGTGGCCAGGGCAGGAGGGGCAGAGGGAAGAGGAGCCGGGAAGGGTTGGGGAAGAACTGGGAAGAGCTGGGAAGGGGAAAGGTAGGAAAGGATGGAGTCGGAGAGGTAGAGGAGGGGATGATTGTTCCCCCACTTCCTCTCTTACCAGCCAAGATGGACCTCTCCCTCCAGCATACAACAATCTGTGAAAGTCCTAGGGAGCCCTCGTGGAGCTCTTAGGAGTTCTCTCAATCAACTCCTATTTCTTAAGCATCTACTAGTTCCCAGGAAGTGTTTTGTTGATGAAGACACAGCCCTGACCTCGACAAAGGAGGTCCCTGCTCTCAGGAGCGTTCAGTCTTTCTCTTTTTAAATATATTTTTAAATAATTTTAGTTGACACAACAATTGTACATATTTATGGGGTACATAGGGATATTTGGATGCATACATACAATGTGTAGTGATCAAAACAGGATAATTAGCATATTCATCACCTCAAACATTTATTATTTGTGTTGAGAACATTCAAAATCCTCTCATCTAGCTACTTGAAAATATGTAATAAGTTATTATTATAAATTTCAGGCAGGATCTCATTCTGTTTCCCAGGCTGGAGTGCAGTGGCATGGTCTTAGCTCACTGCAACCTCCACCTCCCAGGCTCCAGTGATCCTCCTAGGTCAGCCTCCCTCCCAAGTAGCTGGGACCCCAGATATATGCCCCCATGCCAAGCTTATTTCTGCATGTTTCATAGAGACAAGTTCTCACCATGTTGCCCAGGCTAGTCTCAAACTCCTAGGCTCAAGCAATCTGCCCACCTCGACCTCCCAAAGTGCTGGGATTACAGGCTTGAACCACCATACTCTACCTTCATAATAAATTATTGTTAACTGTAGGCACCCTACAATGCTATAAAACACTTGCACTTATCCCTCCTACCTAGCTATAATTTGTATATTTTAACCAACCTCTGCCTATCCCCCATCCTTCCTGGCCTCTAGTAACTACTATTCTACTCACTATTTCTGTAAGAAATAATTTTTGCCAAAGAGGTTGAGCAAGTTACTGCATTAACGCCAGGTGTGGTGGCTCATGCCTCTAATCCCAGCATTTTGGGAGGCTGAGCCCGGTGGATCACTTGAGCTCAAGAGTTTGAGAAGAGCCTGGGCAACATGGCAAAACCCCATTTCTACAAAAAGTACAAAACTTAGCCAGGTGTGGCCAGTGACCAAGATCGAGCTACTGCACTCCAGTCTAGGTGGCAAAATGAGACCATGCCAAAAAAACTTGACCAGAGGGCCTGGTGTGGTGGCTCACACCTGTAATCCTAGCACTTTGGGAGGCTGAGGCGGGTGTATCAGCTAAGGTCAGGAGTTCAAACTGGCCTGGCCATCATGGTGAAACCCCATCTTTAAAAAAAAATTGACCAGCCCTGTTGTTCATGCCTGTAAATCTCAGCACTTTGCGAGGCTGAGGCAGGTATACCACTTGAGGCCAGCAGTTCAAGACCAGTCTGGCCCAATCTCTACTAAAAATACAAAAATTAGCTGGGCATGGTGGTACACATCTATAGTCCCTGCGACTTGAGGGGCTGAGGCATAAGAGTTGCTTAAACCCAAGAGGCAGAGGTTACAATGAGCCAAGATGGTGCCACTGCACTCTAGCCTGGGTGACAGAGTGAGACTCTGTCAAAAAAAAAAAAAGTACATTAGCAGATCCATTTTTTTTCTGCTTCTTATGCCTATGTGTCAAATGATTCTGTAACATTCCAGACAAGACCCTTACTAGACTTAGTAGACTTAGTAAGGGTCTAGTCTGGAAAACACAAGACTTAATGGTATTTCACCAGAGATAATTTAATCTAAGGGATTGGCTAATCCAGTAGGGAGAACTGAAAAGAGCAGAAAGGGAAAATGAGGTAACACAGAGATAAAGCCTTTAGGAAGTAGTGCCTCAGTCTAGGGAAACAAAGGGAATAGGTTGGGATTCTCAGAACTAGAAATTTGGAGGAGAGGACCTGGAAAGCTGGGACTCAGACACCTGGGAAGGGGGTGCTGCTTGGCTGTGCTGGTGGCACTGAGAGTGTGTGAAAAAGCTGAAGAATAGGGCCAGGCATGGTGGCCCATGCCTATAATCCCAGCACTTTGGGAGGCAAAGGCAGGTGGATCACTTGAGGTCATGAGGTCAAGACCAGCCTGGTCAACATGGTGAAATCCTGTTTCTACTAAAAATACAGAAATTAGCAGGCGTGTTCCCATACTTCTATAATCCCAGCTACTCAGGAGGCTGAGGCAGAAGAAATTCTTGAACCTGAAAGGTAGAGGTTGCAGTGAGCCAAGATCACACCATTGCACTCCAGCCTGGGCAACAGAGTTAAACTCCATCTCAAAAAAAAATTGCTGGAGACTGGACCCAGTTGATTCTGTCAGGGTGATGAAAGTCTATTGCTGTGGCACTACTGAAAGAAACAGCCAGCAGGCAGGAGCCAGTCCCTTTTCCCTCCTCCTGCCTTCTGTTGTCCCCCTCACACACCCTATGGGCAGAACCTTCTGGAAGCCAACTAGCAAAGCAGAAATGAGGTCTGCAGAGACTTGGCATCACAAAGCAGAGTATGGAAGTGGGGGTTCAGAGCTGATGTAGAATCACCTCATGACTGGCATGGTCCCACGCCCACCTGTTGACCTTTACTGGAGGTGGAACAAGGGCTGGAACAAGAAGACACTGCAGTTTTCAACTCCACTAGGTGCCACACATGGCTGAGTTCTGGCTGGCATTTTGTTTGAGGCTGAGGGGTAAATGTGAAATGAGTGTTAGTACTTTTCTAAGTCACATGGTGTTCTGTTCTTTGAATAACAGTCACAAAATGGACATGGTTCATTTTGCTGAAGATTCTTATCAAAGACTGATAAAATAGAATTTACATATAAAGCTCTTCTCAACTGTGTTGGATGTCTGTTATCGAATGACATGTGCACTTGCTTACAAACATCTTTGATGCTCTGGGAACACGAATGTGACCCCAGATTCTTGGCAATACTCAGAGATATGTGAGTAGTAATTTCAGCTTCAAAAGAAAAGCAATAACCCCTCAAGATAGATTTCTTAGAAATGTGTGTGTGGATATGGCTGCCTTTACATTATTTGTTTTCAAGAGTTGTTACTGGCTGGCAGGCTGGCTCATGCCTATAATCCCAGCACTTTGGGAGGCAGAGGTGGGCAGATCGCTTGAGCCCAGGAATTGGACTCGGGCAACATGACAAAACTGTCTCTACAAAAATTACAAAAATTAGCCTGGTGTGGTGGTGTGCCCCTGTAGTCCCAGCTACTCAGGAGGCTGTGGTGGGAGGACCACTTCAGCATGGGAGGTGAAGGCTGCAGTGAGCCATGATTGCACTACTGCACTTCAGCCTGGGTAATGGCAGTGAGAACTTGTGTTAAAAAAAAAAAAAGTTGGCCAGGCGAGGTGGCTCATGCCTGTAATCCCAGCACTTTGGGAGGCCAAGGTGGGTGGATCATGAGGTCAGGAGTTCAAGACCAGCCTGATGAAACCCTGTCTCCAAAGAAAAATAAAGTTAATAATTATACCTTAGAAATATTTTCTATCAAGGTGCTTTTCATGTTGTCTCAGCACTTGTGAACCAAGAACAAGGGTCAAGAAGCATTTTCTGTAAAGGGCCAGATAGTAAACACTGCTGACTTTTTGTCACAGCTAAACTCTGCCATTGTAGTGCAAAAGGAGACATAGAGTGTAATCAATGAATGGGCTTGATTTTTTTTTGAGAGAAGGTCTTGCTCTGTTGCCCAGGCTGGAGTACCATGGTGTGCTCTCAGTGCACTGCAGCCTCGATCTTCTGGGCTTAAGCAATCCTCCCACCTCAGTCCCTCAAGTAGCTGGGACTATAGACATGCACCATCACACCCAAATAAGTGTTTTGTATTTTTTTGTAGAGACAAGAGACAGGTGATATGGTTTGACTGTGTTTTCATTCAAATCTCAACTTGAATTGTATCTCCCAGAATTCCCATGTGTTATGGGAGGGATGTTTGGAGGGTAAATGAATCATGGAGGGCAGGCTTTCCCATGCTATTCTCATGATAGTGAATAAGTCCATAAGATCTGATGGGTTTATCAGGGGCTTCTGCTTTTGCTTCCTCATTTTTCCTCTTGCTGCTGCCGTGGAAGAGAGGCCTTTCACCTCCCACCATGATTGTTAGGCCTCCTCAGCCATGTGGAACTATAAGTCCAATTAAACCTTTTTTCCTTCTTAGTCTCAGGTATGTCTTTATCAGCAGTGTGAAATGGAGTAATACAGCAAATTGGTACCAGTAGAGTGGGGTATTGTTGAAAAAATACCAAAATGTGGGGACTTGGCTTGAAACAAGATGGTAGGCTTGTGGTGAGAAGCTATGAAGCAGGTGTAGAAATTCGTATGCTTAGAAGCAGATTTTAAAAGCAGTTTCTCTTCAGATCATGTTTTTTTATACCACTTGATAGGTATCTTGAAGCACCATGGCTGTGGCTGCAGTAAAAAGGGTGATGTCAAAGAAAACTGTCTTGAAATATTTATTCCCAATCCCAAACGGAGCTTTATATTGTGTTTCTCATAAATCTACATACTCTCCTCTGTCAGATGACTATAATTGCAAAGTAGAGCTTTCTCTGACTTCTGATGGCAGGACAATAGTATATACCACACTTCTGAAGGCCAACCCTTTGGGCAGGATTGAGT